GTTAGAATTCTGATATTTTTTTTCAAGAGTAGAAATGCCAACATGCTTTTTATATTCATACTTAGTTTCCTTATTTTATACATTTTCTCTTTGTACATTACATTTTCATAATGTTCATAGGCACCTTTCCTCAGCAGTTCAATGATTATTTTCTATTCTTCAGGGCCCATAGAAAGTTCACCCTTGAACTCTTGCAAGGCAGAACTGTTATTGTGAGACCTCAAGACATTAGTGCAAAAACATTTATATGATAATCATTTTCAGCAGGTTGAAATTTCAAAATTCACTCATCTCCAGTAATCAGGATCATAGAATCCTGAGGCTACTTTCTGCATTGACCACTTGGAAACCTAAAGTCTTAATTCAGCCTTGCTCTTCACAGGCCAATGATGTGGGAGTGATTTCTTATTAATAAAGAAACTGCCTCGGCCCTCATAGGACAGAAAATTAGGTAGGCGGAGTAGACAGAAGAGAATTCTGGGAGAAAGAAGCTTAGTGAGTGAGTCGCCATGATGCTCCCACTCCAGACAGACGCAGGTTAAGATCCTCTCTGGTAAGCCAGCTCATGGGCTACACAGAATATTAGAAATGGGTTAGAACAATATGTAAGAGCTAGCCAATAAGAAACTGGACCTAGCCGGGCCAGGCAGTGTTTGAAAGAATACAGTTTCCGTGTAATTATTTCTGGGTATAAACTAGCCATGCGGGCGGCCGGGTGCCGGGGACGCAGCCCTGCCGCTCCTATTTCAACAGATGGCGCCCAACGTGGGGCTAAATCCACTTAAAAACCTGAGAAGGCTTAAAAATAAGGGAAACAGAGTTTAACACAGATTTTTGCTGTTTTGTTGGTGACATGCTGTAGAGAGATTCCTGATTCAGCAACAGCAGCAGAGAAAAAAAGCTGCGTCATTTTAAAGCGCGGCTTCCTGGTGCTATGCTGCCAGCGTGAACTCTGGCTTTAAAGCATTTCAAGGCTTTTATGGGACTGGATGTTTCTGTTCCCACTTGGGATCGGAGGAGATTGCTCTGAGACCTGCCGATGGCTCAGCGTTCCCTGCCTACACCTGGGCAGATGGCGGAATCAGGCTTAGGCAGGCGGAAGAGCATGGCGGATTCCTGCTGCCATACAGAGACGCGTTTTCAGACTGCGCAGTGCTCTGCGTGTCAGATTTGGCTGTAACTTGGATAAAAAGAGTTTCTGTGCTGCACACTCAGTCTCAAAATTAAATTGCTGATTGCGGCTCCAATGTAAACTGCTGTTTGCCTGTAACTGTGCTCAGCTCAAAAGCACCAAATGACTCTGAGGCAGGAGCGGCTGCTCCTTGCTGAACTGTGCTGATCTCAGGCAGGAACTACCGTAATTACCTTAAAACCGTGCAGTTAAGGTTTAGACTGGGCAGGACACAGGCAGTACCGTATTACCTATACATGGTGCAACTTAAGTTTTTAAGAAATGCTTAACATTTTAAGAAATGCTCCTGGATAATAAAAAAAAAAATACAGATTCACAGTAAAACAGATTCAGACACCGTTGGATGAATGTACGTAGGCTTGGGGAAAAAAAGAGAATATAAAGAATAAAGTTAATGTCTTAAAAAGAAAAAGGGTAAAGTCTTTAAAGAGACAGAGTACAGAAGTACAGATAGTTATAGATTAAGAGAAATAAAGAAAAATAAGCCACGTAAAAATGAAAAATTCACAGAGAGTCTGGATTATGTACATTGTGTTTTCTTTAAAATTTTTGACTGTGAAGGAGCTAAGTACAAAGAGACATTTTATTATATGGGCTGCTAAGCTGAACCTGCACATATGTTCTAAAGGTATCTTGACTTCAAAATTTGGATCTAAGGATATGATGCTTTGGAGAGGGTCTTCTTTTGTTTCCACAGAGGATGTGACCCTATGGATTGCATCTATCCCGGTATGGTATGATAGACCACGCCCTCCTGAAAGGTTGCTGTGAACACCCTCAAAAAATTACTTCACTCAACTGCCAACCGAGATGAACCTGACACACAGGTTACACCCTAAATGATCTGATTAACAGTGCCCCCATTCAGCAGGAAGCAGTTTGGAGAGAAAAAACTACGCCCATGTTCCCAAATATTGTTTATAAATGTTCTTTTACATTTAAAGGGGGATATGATATAGATATGAATAATTTGCATTGGTATGGATTTTAAGGTCAATTTTGTTATATGTATATGTATTTTTGAACTTGATTAAGGTATTGTGATTATGTAGTTCACTTAAAATGTAATGTATAATTAGGAAATATAGGTTGTTAATGGATAATCATTGCTAATAGTTAAGCTTGTAGTCATGTTAGTTAGATTTTCTAGATATATAGAGATATATTTCAATTAGATAGGCATTCTTCATATCTTTCAAAGACTGCAGAATATGGCATTTAAAATATTTTAATAACTTAGGACTTTTCATGACAAGGAGACACGTCTGCTCCTGGCAGCACCAGCTACTTCAAGAGGAAGATGGGCATCGAAGAGGATCCTTATGGAGTTGGATAGTCATTTGGGCAAGAAACTGCTCTTGCCTGGACTGTTGCATAAACTGGACACAGAGAACCCTCAGAGAGAGGACTGCTGAACTTGCCTAAAGGTGAGATGGTCTTTCGGGGTTCCTGATTCATGAAAGAGTCTACAAGACATTCTACAGAACACAGCAGAAAGTGACTGAACTGTCTTTAAAATTTCCTGCTTCATGGAAATGTATCTGGATACCATGGGCCTGTAGGCCGAAGATGGATGCCCCAACGGTACAGAGGAACTTTGGGTGACTGTCCAGGCAGCGAGATGTCTCTGTCATTTCTAGAGTTTTCTTATTTCTTGTTTACTTAGATAATATTATATCCTTCTGGAGTCTTTGATGGAGTTGAAGAATAAATAGTTATAGTTTTCCTTAGTTATGATAAGAGATAAAATAGATATAAATATTGTAACTGTAATTCTTACTTGATAACTGTTTTGTTATATGTAATTTTACTATGCTAAAGTTAAAGCCTTTCTTTTTTGTTTAAACGGAAAAAGGGGAAATGATGTGGGAATGATTTCTTACTAATAAAGAAACTGCCTTGGCCCATTTTATTGGATAGAAAATTAGGTAGGCGGAGTATACAGAAGAGAATTCTGGGAGAAAGAAGGTTAGAGGAGGAGTCGCCATGATGCTCCCACTCCAGACAGATGCAGGTTAAGATCCTCTCTGGTAAGCCAGCTCATGGGCTACACAGAATATTAGAAATGGGTTAGAACAATATGTAAGAGCTAGCCAATAAGAAACTGGACCTAGCCGGGCCAGGCAGTGTTTGAAAGAATACAGTTTCTGTGTAATTATTTCGGGCATAAGCTAGCCATGCGGGCGGCCGGGTGCCGGGGACGCAGCCCTGCCGCCGCTCCTATTTCAACAGGCCAACAAGCTCCTTCTGCTCTGCATTCTTGCTTTCTTATTCTAATTATCTCTGCAATATCAGATTTGCATTTTCTTTCTGAACATTAAGACAAAAGTTGCAAAGTGGTTTTGGCATTTCTTCCATTAACATACAGTATTCATTATGTGCTTATGATAACAAGCATAGCACATGTAACCTGAACATCAACTACAATGACATAAATAAATGTTATAAATGTGTGAATATTTGGATAAAAACACACATGAATATGTGACACTAAAAGAGATTTAAGTTACTTATATAAAGAGTTATTTAATTCAAGTTAATAAAAAATAGAGAAATACATTCTAATTGAAAATTGAGGAATATACTAGCATTTTATAAATATGGCAAGGATAATATAGATAATTAGAACATGGAACCTAAGAAAAGTACATGAAGAAAGTACTGGTGGTTGAGGATCAGAAAAAAATACTTCAAAGTATAGCACTTACTGTCCTGAGTAACTCGAACTAAAATATATGTTATCATCTCCTGCCTTCCTATCTCTTGTCTCTTTTTGTTACCCAATCACCAAGTAGAATTCTTCCTGAAGTTAACTTACATGACTACAGATAGATTCCCTCCAAAGTAGACCATTAGTTATAAATCTTGTGTCCCAGAAATCTCATCTCCAGGTAATAGTAGCTCACAGGACAGGACACACTAGCCCAGATAGGTTCTATCACAAACTATCTCCCGTTGTGATAGCTTAACGCTCTGAGAAACAATTTCTACCATCTGAGGCATTTTATCTGCACCAGTCAATTTCCCACGCATTTTCTCCTAGGAGTTCTCTGTAACTCAGGATTGTTGCAAAAACTCCAGTCATTTGTCCCTTCCCTAAGTCACCTATTTTACATGACTACTACTAGTATGTAAATAATTCAAGTTGTTTTCTCCTTTTAATCTGTCTACTGTGCTTGCACAATGTGACTCATTTACTGAATCTTCAGAAGGTCATTCCTGTACAGAGCTTGGTCTTTTTCGGTGGGTGTAATTACCATAAGTTAGTAACCAGTTCAGACTTGAAAAAAAAAAAAAAAAAAAAAAAAAAAAGGTTCTTCAGTCAATCTCTCTACTTTATCACAAAAAAATTCATGAATATATTTAGTTAGAAAACTAGATTCACTAATAGTATTTGCAAAACAAGAAGATTATCATGACTAGGAATTCAAGAAAACCAGGGGTTAAATCTAAGTTCTAAAAGTTTTTAAATTGTTTCTTTAGGAAACATTATTTGAACTAATTTAGACTCAGTTGCCTAGTAAAACAGAGAAAAAAAAAAAAAAACCAAAACCTACATCAGATGAATAGAAAGTATAAATGACATACTGAAATAAGTATCATCTAGTACACTAAGTACTAATAAATATTGGTTATTCGGACTCATTAATATTTTAAGCAACATTGAATAGATTCAATTAACAGCCTATAGCAAGGTCACAGTCCCTTATCCTAGAATATTTCCACACCGCCAGGTGTCAGACAATGTTTGGTCTCTCCAAAGCGCAATAGAAATGGGAGGCAAGGTCTCTCTTAGGCTAAATCTTACCTGTATATTTTATATCTGGTTGTAAATCCTTGACGGTGTCTTTCCACAAAGGATAGGTAGCTCCTGGAGTGGTGGAAAGGCCCCCTGTCTGAAATAAGCCAATCAAATTCCTTGGAGACATGTTGGTCTGTCCCAGCTGGCTCCTGGTGGGAGGGCTGCACTGAGATACGGCCCCATACAAACAGGAAGTAGAGGAGCTCAATAAACCTCCAGTTCATGCTTTTCTGCCGGCCTTTTTCCTCTCATTCTTGCTCCATTCTGTGGAGTCCTGTAGAGAAAAAAAATCAAGGAGAGAGAAAGGAAAGGGGAAGGGGAGAGGGGAGAAAAAGACAGTGAAAAGAAAAAGAGAAGGTTAACATATATCTTCATTAGTAGGCCTTCAGGACATTGTTTTAATGTTTATAAAAACATTACTGCCTTGTTAAAAGCAGGAGACCAATGGTGACTGGGACACATAGTTTTACTTTGCCTTGCTGTTCACATACAATGTGAAGATACACGAACTGCATAGTCTATGAAGTATAGTTTCCATATATATAAAGTAAGGGCATCTCTCTCAGTCCTTGATGAACTACAGATTTCCAGGGACATGTGTTTTAAGGATGAAAGAAATAAATTAATGCAGTAACTAAGTCTAATGCATGCAGGTAGAGTTATGGGACAGAACTGATGTTTGCCCCATGTTCTACCTTGACCAAAAACCGGCCTCTCATTACTGAGACTTGATGAACAGGAGTGCCTTTTTCTTTTATATCACAGGTAGGAACACACTGATGATTTGTCCTCTTTTAGTCTGGTCGGTTAAATGCACAAAGTCTTGTGATGCTCTAACAATTGTCTATTCCGGGTGGATACATTAAGATGAAGAACTCTTACAACAGGGGAAAGGACAAATTTTACACAGTTCAGTGGAAGGTCTCTGGACCCTCGAGGGAGTTTTTAAACAGACTATTCATTTGTTGGTACCTATAAGCTTCAGTGTATCCTTACCTATGGAGAGGACACTAAAGAGCAAGGGTTGGGAAAGTAGGCAGGTCTTGCCAACCTCTATAGTTGGACAGTGGCACTATATTGGACAAAATTTGAATTTTTGAGAGAGACCTTAGGTGGGAATTTTTTTTTCTGAAAAGAATAGAAGCAAATCACCTGCTTTCAACATTTTAAAATTTAGTTTTCTATTTTATCTGGTAGTCAATTGCTAGCTTAACCAGTTGCTGCTTGCCCCATCTTTTTTTTTTCTAAATAAGCTTGCCACACTTCGCATGACAAAGGCAATACATATTTAAGTTGCATCATCTATAAACAATATTGTTTCACGAAAGTTTTTGTTTGCCTTCTTTTCCTCATCTATAAAATGCAATTAATGAGGACACATGTACATTAACTAACATGGTGACTGAATCATCAGGGCAGAGTGCTCCCTTTCCCTCCCAGCACAGAACAAATGCTCAGTGACATTCATGATAAGAATTGTCAGGATCAACATGGTATTAATGCTGTTAAGCTTTGAGATGTAGCTTAGTGGTAGAGCACTTACTGAAACCATTTTGATGTTGTCAACTTAATGATCTTCTAAGAAATACTTTTGTTCACTGTTTTCTTACGTTTAAATAAAGCCTGATTTAGCCTCGGAAGTCACCTTGGATCATGTCATCGGGGACATTATCTTCTTCTATTCCTTTGAAAAACTGTTGTTCTATTCTGTCCACCCAACTCTATTTTCTCATTTTCTAAAAATCTATGTCAGTGGCAATTGTCTTGCCTTATACCTCTTTGTTTCATGTCTGTCTTGTTTACTGGGCTGTGAGCCTTTAGCTGGCAAGAAACTTCAGAAAGCTGTGTTTTATCTTGGCTAGTCATGTGACTGTGAAGTCACAACCCTTCACTAGACCTCATAATTTTCTGGATATCATTTAAAAATATGAGGAGGACACACACATTTTGTGAGCTGTAAAAGCTATATACATGATTAAGTATTCCTCATTTGGTGATTGTCCCAGTTGAACATGGGAGGTCAGCAAGGCTAGGAAACGAGAAATAAAAGAGGGATGCATGGTTCTGTACAGCTGAGTATTTCCCTCACTTGTTCAATTGCACCATTTTATAATGAGATGCCACACACAAAAATAATCTGCCTGTTGTTGAAATCCCCAGCTGTCAGGGTAAGGGAGGTAGGCATGTGTGCTGAGTGTGAGATGGAAAAAGCTAAGGCCTGAGGTTTTGTTCAGATCCTAAAACAAAGCTCTCCATGTTGAGCACAGAACTGTATCAGCGACAGCTGCCAGGATTGTCTGCCAGAGCCCACCAGAGCGGCAAGCAGGGTATGGGAGCAATTGTTCAAAGATTCCTGGAGTGAACTGCAACAAGCTGGAATCCTACTGTGCTACCCATACAGCCTTCTCCAGAGCTTCTGCTGTGAGTGGGTGTGAATGGGAGCCTGGGAGAGAATATTTAACTGTTGCTGTGAAGAGACGGGATTCAGGGCACTTCAGCTTGCAAAAGGTTATGTATCTAACACTGGAATCGGGTGTGTGTGTGTGTGTGTGTGTGTGTGTGTGTGTGTGTGTGTGTGTGAGGGAGGGAGGGAGGGAGGGAGAGAGAGAGAGAGAGAGAGAGAGAGAGAGAGAGAGAGAGAGAGAGAGAGAATCTCCAGCCTGTCATCCTAGGAGTATATAAAAAACTGTTTAACCAAGTTTCTCACAGCCCTAGGAACACCTTTGTCACAACCTTACATCTAAAGTGATATTCTTTATATCTGATGGATAAAGACTAGGGTTGTTACCAAAAACCCCAGCATATACTGGAGGGCCCCTTTTAATGGCATGGGATAAGAGATATTAATGGCTCCAAAATGAGACTCTCATACAATTCATTTTACCATGACCCCAACAACATACTCCTGTCTTCTAGCTTCTGTAAAGTAGTTATACTTTCTGCCTTTGTCTTGTTTACCTAATGCACCCACATGCCTCTTGGCTTTGAATGTCTGTGAAAATCTAAATGATAGGATTATGTGAGGTTAGAATGTATTTCTGTTGACTTAAGAAAAATCATAGCCTGGATGGAAATACAGCTCAGTGGTTGAGAGTTTGCCTAATGTGCATTAAATATTGGATTTAATCCCCAATATTGGGAAAAAAAGGAAATTTAAAAGAGAAAAAAGGAGAGGGAGGTGGGCAAAGGAGAGGGAGGTGGGCAATCATCTAGCAATGAGCCACATACCCAGCCTTGTGTGAATATGAAAATCTGATTTCAGGTCACCAGCTCTCTTGTAACAAAAACAAAACAAAACAACAACAAAACTGGTGTGACCATGTGTGCTTATAAACTCAGCTCTGAAAGGCAGAAACAGAAAGATCTGAGAGCTTGCTAGTCAGCCAGGCTGGACAACCAAAGAACTTCAAGGCTCAGAGAGTTACCCTACTGGGGGGTGAGCAATGTGGGGATAGATAGAGGAAGACACCCAACTCCACATTTCTGTGTATAATGAAAAGCTTCCTTCACTCTGCCTCATAGCTCAGTTAAACTACCATTCACATTCATCTTGCAAAATCAACAAACAATAGATACACTGCAAATAGAATCCCCTGTGCTCCAGGACCATGGTAACTGAGCCACACAGCTTACAGAGAGCCCTCAGAATCTTCCAGAACAAATTTGAGAATACTTGATTTTCTAAAAGGTTCATAAAGGGGTTTCCTACCACTGGCGATTTCAACCTAACAATTCAGGGCTAGGCTAGTTGTGTACCAAATGTGGCCTTTAATCCTTGTGACCTTCAAGGAATCATAGGCACTACTGCCTGATACACTAGTTGACCCAGAAGAGCTGACACAGGCTGAAACATAAAGATCATTTGGTGTTCATGGCTGAACTGGACTCTTCATCTGCCCGCAATGCCAAGAAGTGAATCAAGTTCACCTACACATCTGTTTTCTAATTGTTATATCTGAATTATTTACATCAGAAACAGACACACACAAAGAAAAAGATAACAATAGCAGGTCCCTAGCAATCCATACCTAGTTCATTCTCTGGAGTCTCTACAAGGATTACTGGACCAAGGCTCACATTTTGGACCAGAGTGCAGGAAGGGAAGTCCCTACCCCTGCCTCAAGTTTCCCTGAGGACTTTGGTCAATAATTACATCTTGAATGTAGCACATAGCCCCTGATAGCTCCAGCTGATCCATTTGGGTGGTCTCATCAGGGCTTTTACCTCCAAATCTGGGTCTTCACTAATAGGAAGACCTAAAAAGCTGAAAGAGCCTGGCTATGTTAATTAACTCCCCTGAGTCTTGGTTTCCTGCAACTTTTAGAGTACAAGCAGGAATTGAACACGGTTTTTTAAATGTTGCTATTTCATCTTTGGTTTCAGCTGAACCGAACAACCATTGACATACCAGCCACATTCTGAATGGAGGTCTGTGACCACCATATCACACTTACCAAATAGGCAGCCAAAGTACACTTAGATGTATTCTTAACCTCTCACCCACATCACAGCATACAATGTCTTTAAGACTAAGAATTAGATTTGAGTGGAAGCTGACAATGCAGAGCCTCCCACCCTCTCGCTAAACTCCTCGGGGAAGGGGGTGAAAAGGGGAAAGAACTCCTCCACCTCCATCTTTGAGAAGAATTCTCAAACAGAACATTAAATGTGCCCTACAGCTTAGGGAAACATGATAGAGTGCTGCCTAACTCATGCCAGAGAATTCTAAAAAAAGATTGCTAAAGAGAGGAGTAGAAAGAGGCAGGCTGAAACCTGGCAGAAGAGCAGGAAAATGACTGCCTGAGGCATGGGTAAAAGGAATGTGCAGCCTCCCCCTTCCCATGGGCTAGAGATGGGCCACATGCTAGAGAAAGTCAGGGGAAGTTACCTAGCATTCCGCCTCAGAGCAGGAATGAGTCTAAGTACAAGGAAACTAGAATGGTGCTGTCATTTACCCAGGGCCTAAGGAATGAATTACAGCAACACAGCTGACAAGATATATATTTGCCCACATCAAAACAATTAGTAACAAGAGAACTGGGTGGAGACAAAGGAGGAGGTTCATGCGGCGGGACATAATGACATGACTCTGTGATATCAGGACTTAGGAAATGGATACGGAAGAATCTCAAGTACCAAACCAGCCTGCACCACAGCAGCAAGGCTTGCTGAGGGCTCAGAGCACCAAAAAAATGTTATCAAAGAGAACTAGCCAGGGAAGGGATTCTGTCTTCTTCACTTGTCAGTTCTTCACCAAAGCTTGTGTCCTTAGGA